CCCGATCTAGTGTTATTATATAAAGTTATTAATGATAAATTATGAAATGACTTAATATAGGTCCCCGATCTAGAGTTATTATATAAAGTTATTAATGATAAATTATGAAATGAGTTTAATTTCTTAGCGAAATAACTTTTTCATCAAGTTTTCAAGTTTTTGACAATTCAGTAAAATATAGAAACTTTTCTTTATTGAAAGTGCTATACCTAAGGTTGAATGTTAATATCTTTTTCAGTATAAACAACTCTCAAATGTTACAAATGGCCCTGAAAATGAGGAGCTGCTTTCTTCTATTATTTGTGCTGCAGCTAACTTTAATGAGCCATGGTCAAGATTTCTCCATCTTTGTTGAGACAAACGATCCAAGTAACAAGGATATAAGACTGACAAGAATGGTTTTAGATCCTAATAATGGTCGTTTGTATGTGGGATCGGTAAATAGGCTTTATAAATTGACCAGTGATTTGGAGACAGAAAAAATTGAGTCAACGGGACCAAGAGATGACAACCCCAATTGTATACCACCAGATTTTGTACTGTGTCATTCTACGCTTGTTTCAACGAACAATATCAATAAGATTCTAGTCATTGATACAGATAATAGTCAATTGATAACCTGTGGAAATGTGTACAGAGGTTCTTGTGAAACAAGAGATATGGATACATTAGATTTGATAGAGTGGTATGATAGACAAGTAGCAACAACAGCTACAGATGGATCTACGGTGGCAATAATAGCTCATGGTCCAAATAATGACAATACTGGACTTGGTCCAAATGTTTTGTATGTTGGTAGAAGTGGTATCCCTGGTGAGACTCGATGGATTCCTCTTTCTAGTCGTCTACTTCCATCTAGTAACAATGAGGATTCATTTTCTATACTGAACGATGAAATTGGAAATGCTGGATTAGTACAAGTAAAGTCAGATTTCTTTGGAGTTAATTCTGACTTTAACATTGATTATATTAGTGTATTTGAAAGCAATGGTTTTACGTATTATGTATCTGTCCAGCCCAAGATAGACACCATAACTAGTGGACCATTCGTTACGAAAATAGTTCAAATTTGCCAAAGTTGTAACAAGTACAAGGAAACCTATATTGATTTACCATTGGTATGCAAAAGCAGTGATGGTGTTGATTACAATTTAGCACAATCGGCATATGTAACTCAAGCTGGTGATGATCTCGCAGAAAATATGAACTTAGATTCTAATGACAACAAAGATATTGTAGTTGTGTCATTTGCTGAAGCAGAAGGAACATCAAAAATACCAACAGACAAATCAGCCGTATGTATATACTCCATCAAAAAAATACGTGAAAAGTTTTTTGATTGGCTTTACATGTGTGCATCGGATATAAATCAACCAACTGGGTGTGCCTGGTCTTCCACCGCCTTGGAGGATGTTTGTGGCAATACCTGGCTGGTAAGTAGAATACATTTATAACGTTCTAATAAAATGTTATCAATATAAAACAATTGTTTAGCACAGTACTTTCCAGCAAAATGAAATGTTCTTCACCAGCAGGAAATGCAAAATGTTACTAACATTTTACAAATCACTACATAACTACATATTACTATCCGTGTTATTGGGGCCACTGCGGGATAATATTATCTCATTCATTCTTGGGACAACTCGGGAATAATATTATTAGTTGTTTGGATCAATTGTTAAAAATGTTATAGCTAATAAGCCAACAACTGTTTTTATAGTTCTTAGTTTAAGTGTGTTTCATACCCAGCCAATTTAGAAGTAGTTTGAACCTGTTAAAGTGTTATAAACATTATGGTGTGCATACGTCTGGTCTGGTGCTTAATACCTATTGGATCAACTTGGTTGACATAATATAAACAATTTGTTATTATTTCTAGGCTGATGTTATTGGTGTTGATTTGTGTGCTTGTCGTGATTTTGGCAAAATGACATGTGGAACCCTGAATATAACTGAGACACCTTGTCATACTAGCAGTGATTCCATGATAACCGCTGTAGCTGCATTGTCCCATGCAGGTCATACCGTTATATTCACAGGAAATCAAGATGGACACCTTAAAAAGGTACAAAAGAAACACTCTTATGTTGTTATGTTTTTGTTACCCAGTATCATTTATGTTTGGTTGGTTGATGTGATTCGGTATGTCATGCGACTTATTAATTTGCGTTACACGATGTAATTCCGTTGTTGTTGTAAAAATCATCATACACTTAGAAGCAAGTCGCATGAATACAGTAGTGCACTGTATGCATATTTCTGTGAATCAAAGGAAATTGCGTTTCGGAGGATGCAAATTTGAAATTTTTCTCGGAGGAACATGCCCCAGATTCCTAGTACAATCGTGAGGGATGGTGAGCTAATCTCGCCCCATGCACAATTTCGTCATATGTGACATCACCCCGGGGGTCTTACTTAAAAATGATCTGGTACGCATTTCTGTGAAAGATAACGCATTAAAAGGATGTTTTTTTAAAAGAAAAGAACGTTTACGGGCGTTACGCGTTCAGGGTTACCATTTCAGTCAAAATAGACAAAAAGAGTGTCTTTTCCGGTACAGCAAACGCGATACGGGTGATTTAAAAAAAATGAGATTATCGGGTTTTTTTCATTGCTTTAAGGAATTCAATGATCGCAAAAGCAAAGAAAACGTCCGGCCCCCTGGTTAACGACCTTCGATAACGGGCGATCACGGCATATGACCAACCCGTGGTTACACTGAAGGGCTAGAAAGCTCAAATATCGCAATTAGGGTATGTATTTTAGATTTCTAACAGTGAAAAGGGTACGAAATTTTTACTTTTTAAAACGTATTTCGGGCCATTTTGAAAACCCCTTTCACAGACTTGGGTTCCTGGAAGTTCCAGGTATTTCCACAAGTCGGACCCCCGGGGACAGTTTCATTGACACCAGCCCCTGCATAATGATATTCACACTGGGTGTTGTCTTAACTCACCAATCAATCTCCTCCACATTGAGTTGCAGTTCAATCAGATTCCGTGTTTATAATACGATGAACAAACAAAGTAGTAATTCGCTGCCAAGTACGCTACCTACACAAATTGAACTTCAAGCTACAAACAACCCCTCCCCAAATATCTTACTGAACCAACGAACACATTTCTGTACACATTCAGTAATGGGGGAAAATGTTACAAATATTCACATAATAGCAATCATAGTAGATGACTTGGTTTAACACGAAGGTGTAGCACAACAGTAACACGGCAAATCAAGCCACGTGTAACATAACGCAACGATTTCATTGATACTAGCCCCTGTACAATGCTATCCACACCGGGCGTTGTTTAAATCCACCAGTCAATGGTTCCACATTGAGTTGCACTTTAGTCAATTTAGTTAATAAGTTCACATGTGTAAGGCCGTGTTACGTTAACAAATATTCACATTTACATTATAGAGCGTTCACAATAGAGAAGATAGCAAAATATATAATGAAGCAGAGAATCATGGGTATTCTCTAGTTAACAGGGCACAACCTTCAAAATGATGAGAGGCTAAACCACTCTAAAATCTCCTTCTATTGACCATTCAACAAAAACTACAACATAAAGAACAAATTAGCCTAAAAATTGCTTAAATTTGTATTCAGTTTACGCTGCTAATGTCTAGTTTGGAAAGCGTTCTACGCGTGATTTTATTGCGTAACGCCATCATCACGTGACACGTATGCTGGAAGAACGGTCGGCAGTCGCGTTCAGACCGTGTAGGTTGTTGTCATTGCAATATTGATAACTAATATAGACTTAAAGCGAAGGGGTCGTCACCTGCGCATGCGCGAGAATTGAGCCCCAAGCGAAGATAACAACGCACGCTAAAACATAAAGGCTCATTACTGGAAACATTAAGACCAGCTAGTAAGCATAGTAGTATTGTGCTTTATAATAACAATACTAAAAAAACAACATGCAGTTATTGTTTTGTTATTAACAGCCATGAAATGAACAACACTTCGGGTAAAATACATTTCTTTTAATCATGACTTCATACATATACATTTAAATGTTTGTAATTAATTACATATCTGCTTTAGAACATTACTTCTATTTGTCCAAAACAAACAACAATATTTGGTATACATATTTTATTCAAAACTGAATGGAGGCCATGTTGGTTTTACCATTTCTCACAAATAACACGTCGTTTTTCCACTTCCATGGTTGATGATTTGTCTTTGACAAGAAGTGAGGAATTGGAGCTAGAACGACTTAAACTTGACAAGGAACGCCTAGAAAATGATCAAAAGGGAAGAGAAAAAAAGATTGAGAATAAAGAAATAAATCTTATTTTTTAGTATTTAAAAAAACTAAATTAAATGTACATGTTGTAGTTACTTTGTGCAGTTCCGATATATTTTCATATTCGTAATTTAACGTTTTATGTATAATTTTCATTTCAAATAGTTTAAATCGTAAAATTTATCGATAATAAATAAAATTCTTTTGTCTTGTTTATACCTCAGAAATGTTTTTAATTGATTTCAATGAATATCATTAAAACAATGTAGATATTAAGAATCACATACAAACTGAATAAACTTTGACACAAATATGATATTGTTGTTTATTTAACACAGCATTCACTACTAGAATTAAGTATTATTACAACATCACTGTTATTCTAGTTTACCACAACTGAAAAATTTACACTAAGCTTACTATTATCTCTTGAACTAAGTTTCACTTCCTTAGAAAATATAAATTTACATTTATTTTATTTGAATCAACATTTTCTATAGTCACGAAGCTAAAGTTTGTTTTACCATTGGTCGAATATTTTTCTAGAGATAGAGGCTGAACATTCAAAAAGATTTTGCTCAGCAACACTGAATCTTATGGTTCTGGATTTCTCTTTCCCATCTGACTTAGCATCATAAATATGGTAATGGTGTTCTCACTTATACACAGTAACGAAAGCTCCAATTAAGCAAGCTTTTGCTGGGCCTTCATGTTTCTATGTCCGATGTTATTCGGAATGTGGTCACTCAATGTGCTACTTTCCTTTTTGGCAAGTGTTATTTTGTTATTAAGTGTTGTATTCATGGAGAAAGAACAAAAGCGCGAAAATTTCAGATCTTGTGACTTTTTGAAGCAGCGTACGATTTTGATAGTTTTTGAGGCGCTTGGATTCCCTACGTACTGGTGATGGCGAATGTCCTTATGATGGCAGTCATGCCGAATTGGCCATCTACAACATAGTTTCCACTCCTCCTGTCATTGGTAGTAGCAAGGCCAGTACACCTAGTTGACGATCCATCACTACTCCATCATCCACACTTTTCTAAATACACGCTTGGAGGTTTTCCAGTCTTTGCCAGCTATGAGAAGATTTTGACAATATTGAGAGTCGGACAATATTGCCAGAACCCAACATGAAATATTATTCAATTCAAGTATGAATGAAGTTTGTGTGATTTGTGTAATCATGGGCAGGATGATCCATGGCAGCCTACTTCATACTAGTAGCAGATTTGTTGGTTATTTGTTTTATATTACAGATATTTTGCTCACTACAATTAAAGAATACAGGGCTATTGTGTGACTGGTAATATGTGCATACACCAGTATAATGCATTTGTAAAGAATAAGATCAGTCAAGATAATTCAGGGATACACGAGATACAGATATGCACGCACGCACACACGCACAAATATGGCATGGCCCATTTCCCCGTACTGAAATAGTGCATAACTTTGCCTAAGCTGCAAATTTTGAATCAGATACACTTTCGGCCTGTTACCTCGACATATTCATTAAAATATGACATATGGTTTATGGCGAAACTCCCATTTTTTCCCATTTACTCTATAGTTGAAAGTGGTTAACAGCAATTCAGCTTTGGAATATGAAAATATTAAAGTTGTCCATGATAACCCGGAAATTGTACAAAATGGTTTGCTATTCGATGCTGAAAATAACAATATTTACGTCATGAGTAAAAGACAGGTGAGTACTGTGATGATCACATGTCAGTACGTCCATGGTCAGTCTGGGAAAATTACGTGAAGGTGGTGCAACAAGTGAGTTATTACGCTGACGTTTGTGATGGTTGATGCTAGAACTAGTTTATGTTAGTATATGCCAAATATAACTAGAACGGCCATCACTCTGTCCATTTGATTCGCGTTATGAATGTTAATATGTTTCATAAGATGTGCATTGTAAGCACGTTGAGCACCATCGGTCCAGACATGCTGGATATGTAATTTTGTATCATTTTTACCTAGTGTGTTTGTCATCTGTCATATGTAAGGTGCTTTATGATTCTATTATTATACTAGTTTTTGTCGAGTTACCAGAATTGATGGGGCATCAATTTGTATCTGTTCAGATTACTAAGGTGCCAGTCGAGAACTGTGAGAATTTTACAACATGTAATGATTGTCTTGGAGTTAACGGTGTTGGCGATCCATACTGTGGTTGGTGTACGCTAGAAAACAGGTTTGTAGTTTTACCCTTGCTTATTTGACAGGCATACATATTTGTAACGATCAAAGCCCTCTTCTTTCCAGTCGAAATAGTTTTTTGTTTTTTGGTAGGTGCTCAAGATGGAATGTTTGCCAGGGTCACATAGATAGATCTACTAATAGATGGATTGCCGATTTTCAATGTCCAAGCGTTGATGTTTATCCGAGTACTGTGTATTGGGAAAGAATGGCTTTAGTAAGTGGTTCATTATATTAAGAGATGACATAGTTTTGTCAGAAGAAAAATGAAAATACCAACATCAGATTTTGTTTGAAACTTCTTCAATTCAATTCATTGTAAACAAATATAGTACCTCCAAAGAAACATATTTAGTATGAAAACGTAACTCTATATTGATTAATTGTTTTTGACATAACTACAAACATCACGTAACTGTATTGTAAGGTTAATGGTATTTTTTTCAGTTGACGCTAAATGTAACCAGTTTACCACAGTCTCTGACTGGATTTAAATGTGTATTTGACACTATTGGCACAACAAATGCGACCCCGACTGGTGAAAGTAACGTCTTGACTTGTACTACTCCTCCACCGAGTAACATACCGTCACCTGGAAGCAGAGGTACAGTTTCTTTTATATTTTATAAAAAGGTCGCTGACAGTAATTAATATTAAAAAAAGAATGAATATTATGCATTGATTGATAGATTTCATTTTATTTGTAACCCTATAACTATTCTTTTTAGGTTTCATCAAAGTGAAATTGTCAATATTATCAGTAGAAACCAATGAAAAGTTTGTCAGTACTAATTTTTATTTTTGTGATTGCGACTCCTTGAAGACATGCATGACCTGTACTGAAAACAACTGTGGATGCGATTGGTGTGTTTTTGAAAATATTTGTTCTAAAGATGTCAGTTCCTGTAAAATTGAAGGTGTTGTCAGAGGCAATGCAGTAAGTACGAGTTCCCCTTGATAATTAATGATTTTGTTACCCATGTTGCATTGTTAGTGATATTATATAACGTGTAATGTTAGGCAATGTGGTAAGTACGATTTATGTAATTATTAGCTGCTGGATTTATGAACATCAATCACTGTATGTTTGTCAATTAAAATTGCAGTAAAATTATAATCTACTTGTGTAACATTTACATTAAATATTTTGAAATATCTTCTCTTTTATAGAATGAAGCCAACAGTTCCCAGCAATGTCCGCAAATTAAGGAAAGTGCTGAAACGTTAATTCCTGTTGATTTGTCTGCAGAGATCTATGTTGTTGGAGAGAATTTCCCACAGCCTTTGGTAAGTTACTGTCTGACATGAATTGTTCGAAGTAATTTATTTCAGTTTTCAAGTAATTATAAATCTTTATTGCATTTCGATATCGAAAAATTGTTTTTTCAGTCGGAATCTTATTGTAACGTTTATTTGTTATCACGATAGGATGGGCAGACTGGATATGAATGTATTCTACATATAGAAGGAGCGGAAGTCATTACCACAGGAGAACGAGAAAGCTCAGAGAGCATTAAATGCCGAAGCTTCAAGGTATGCTGTGACATGCAAATGTACATACAATTAGTGTCACTACAGTGCAAACTTTTCTACGTCTAAACGTAACATCACAGTATATATAAGGCTTCCATTTTGTGATTTTATAAGGTTTATTTACATGACTCCTTGTCACAGTGTGAGGCCTGCTTATTGCTATTGAGAGGGGCACCCACAGAACTCACTTTGGACAGGGAGGTTCTTTCAATGCGAGAATGAGGTAGACAAGACAACAGTACTGGAACAGTACAGTACACATACACCAAAATAAAGTTAAAGCTCCTGGCTTTAATACCTATTATAATAAATACACGAAACAATGCACACAATAATACAATGAATAAATTCACTGAAATAGGGGATTGCCTAAGGGAGTGTACATTGGTGATAACTCTTCAGGTGATGGCATTGGTTCTGCACCGAACACTGTAATGTGATTAAGTTTGCGAAAATCAATGCAAAACCCCCACTTTCCTTATTTACCAAAACAATGGGTGAGGCATAAGGTGAATTTGATATTTCAATCACACCCATCTCTAACATGATCCTAACCTCTGACTTATCTGTCACAGCGAATGGTAATATGGTTTAGACTTAACTGGTTCAGATATTACCAATTTAATATGATGCTCGCCAATTTTAGACTTTCTAGAACAATCAATGAGAACATCAGAACATTTTCTCAAAACTCAATCTCTCGACATTCAACTCATTGCCAACATGACAATCATCAATTGTTTCCGTACACTGAATTTCATAATATGCTTTCAACAAGTTAGCATGATAAATTTTCATCCTTTCTTTAATCGATCATACCAACTCTCTCCGTAATTACATATGTCCTCTGTCATTGCATCAAATTATTGTGTTACAAACTGTGTTTCTCAATGAGTTAAAACTTCTTTGGGTACACCAACCTTACTATTTATACTGACTAATGCATCAGCAAACACCTCTGAAGTAATTTTCGTCAACGATACAGCTTCAGGGTAACGTGAAGCATAGTCTACAACCGTATATTACGGTTAAAATGTACCTCTCTCGGTTGCTGACCTGATCGGATCAATCAGATCATTAGCTATTATTTGAAATGGAATTTCTAACTCAACCCTGGTTTACTAACATATATCACATGACCTGAAATACCTAATAACACCACCCTGCGTCCCAGGCTAATAGAACTGGGTTGCTATTGTATCTGTAGTCGTCTTGGCACCCATATGACCTACCATACCTGACTCATGAGCAAGTGCTAGTACTTGATAACGGTAACAATTCCTGTGACTTCGTGAACTACACATGTAGCACTGACGTCTTGAATCATTATTTCTATTCCGATCATATGCCAACATCGCAGCTGACCTGAGGCTTGGAACTTTTATAGCGCTTAGGGCAACTGACAGCAGAGTGATTTGGATTATCACAAATAGAACAGCCTTACTTTGGCGTAGACTGGCCAAATCGACCCTCTCTCTTTTCCTTCTGACCTATGCACCAAACTGACCTTTCTGATTTAGACTACCACCTTGAAACTGGCTAGATTCCAGATTTGTACAACCTGTCTGTCTACATGCATCTTTAAACCTGTCAGCTAAGTCAGCCATTTCTTTAACTGACTTAGGTGACCTTTCACCTATGAGAATGAACAACTCGTTACCAAAAATACTCACCAACTGATCTCTCATCACTAAGTCCTTAGCTCCTTCAAAACTCTTCAGACAGCACTATCCAACGGTCAAAATAACTACTTAATCTAGCTGCAAATTGCGAAATGCTCTCGCCAACTTCTGCCCTACTAGTTCGAAATCTCTTTCTATAACCTTCTTTATTCATACCATAACGCTTCAACAAAGATGATTTACAACATTGTAACTGCTGCAGACAATTCCGAAAACCCTTACAAAGCTTTGCCTGTCAATGATGCACTAAGATTCATAACCCTAACTGTCACGCAGCCATTTCCGAGTCGCAGCAACCTTAAAATAAATGTGTCCATTTCATCCCTAGTCGCATCAAACAAAGGTAGCTTTGGATCCTTGGAACTAACAATAGACTGATCCAGCTGTTCTACACCTCCATTTTGACCATTAACTTCTGCACACAACCTCAACACTTCAAGTTCATGCTGTCCTACTTTCTCTTTGTCTCACGTTTTCTGTTCCTTTCCTCTCATTCATTTTTCAACCCTTCAGCCTCACGTTCACATTCATTTTTCAACTTTTCTGCCTCGTATTTGCGTTAATTATTCAACCTTTCAGCCTCATGTTTTGCTGTTCTCTCACCTCTCTCCTCACGCTCTGCCCTCACAAATTGAGTCAGACCTTTCCCCTCATACCCCAATTCTCTACCTAACTTTAATTTCTTTATCAATATCCAAACTAAAAAGGTGTAATTCAAGTTCCAGTAGTATTAAATAAAGCAATTTAATGTCTACCAAGCAGTACAAGCCGGTCTGACACTGACAACACAGTATTCTTTAGACCTTAAGCAGTTATGAAACAATCAATTTAGTCAGAGGATTATTGATAAAAAACAATTCGATAGTGAATCAGAATCAATACCAAATCAGAATCACATTTACAATCAGAATCAGAATCGCAATCCCACTTCTGTCACCAAAATATCACAGTGTAAGATCTGCTTACGTTGCACCCACAGAACTCGCACTGCACAGGGGTGTTCTTTGATTGCGAGAATAAGGTAGACAAGACAATAGTACTGGAAATTAAATAAACATACACTGAAATATTAAGCTAAAGTCCCTGCCTTTAACATCTTTCAAAATAATAACACGAAACTAAGCGCAGAAAAATACAATGAACGAATTTACTAAAATAGGGGATTGCCTAGGAAAGTGTGCATTGGTGATAGCTCACAGTTCCAGGATGTAGAAATGGCTTCTGCAACACAACGATGAAGAAATACAGGAGTCTTGCTTTCAGAGGAACACTGTTATTCTAGAGGGCACCACTGAAAGCAGGAGAGCAGTCTCACAGAATGATGATTGAAGCCTGTATCACTTGTCTCAAGATATCTAGTCCTTCCTAATATGACAGCAACACAGATTAGAAGATGCTGACATTGCTTTTCTTTAATCTATTATTTATTTTGTGTCAAATTGTTGTATTTCTGGATGCATGTTTAGAAAGCTTAGAGCTTTAGTTGTGTATTACAAAACATGTATTAAATTGTACTTGCTAAACCCCAACTAATTGATCCCATCAAAGATGAAAAATTATATGAGGGTGATGTTTGTTTGCAGTACATGTATTCGGAAGACGTCATCAGTAAATTAGTCACCTTGCAGTTGAAATGGAACAACGATTTTGAAATTGACAATCCTGATAACGTCCAAGGTGAGAAATGTATAGGTCGCTGCAACATTTTTTTCAATTATTGATTTTAAGATCACACGTATCAGACGTAAAGGTGACATTCTAATACATGTGTATTTAATTTTATTTCCCGTCAGTTAATCTGTACAAGTGTGACGTTGGCCGTTCTAATTGCGGAAAGTGTCAGCAAGCTGAGTTGAAATACCAATGTGGTTGGTGTAATAGTGTAAATGAGCAGAAATGTACGGTGATCAACAAATGCAATCCAAGAAATTCTTGGCTGACAAGCGAGGAGATTTGTCCTAATCCAACCATTACTAAAGTAAGCCTTAATTTGTGATTCATGTTATGAAGCTAATCATTTCGTCGCACATTATACTTGATTTGCAGGGACAATCATAATTTTACATTCAACTTGCATTATAGTTTGCAGGCAATTTATATACAGTTTCTAAATATTGTGTAGATATATTTAGAGATTAAAAAGGGCAAGCAGGGTATTTGGTAGAAAATATAAAGCCTCTCTGGAGAGTGATTGCACAAGAAACGCAATTAAAACGGATGTTTATATAACGTTGCTATGTGTGAATGCCCAATTATCCTAACACCTGTACGTCGATTGTACTACTACCGTAATGGTTGAAGAGGAACAATGTTTTTAAACACCTAATAGCGTAATGATTTGCAAGTAGATATTGTGTTTTGTTTGTGTAAACTGGCATTCTGATTCATTTTGTAGAATTTACCAGCGACGTTTCGTATTCAAATTTCAGGGCTGAACATATTCTATAAAGATAGCACGACAAAATCTCACAAAGAGTTTTATCGCAAAAATGGGCAACATACTACCATTTTTCAAGTAGTCTTATTAATACTTTTATCAGGTTTCCCTGATCAGTTGCTCATACACCCGCAATCACTATGAACAGTGCTCACAGTCGTGTGATCTTGATATAATAGTTAAGCCAGTTTATTTGACATTTAGGCCAGTTTATTCTGGTTTGGGCAGAATCAATTCTAGTTACTTTAGTCAATCTGATAGACTAAGAGTAATCATGTTATAATCTATTTTTCAGCGACAGACGGAATAGTTTCTAATATTTGATAAGACTGATAAAAACAAAACAGCTTTTTTAAATTGTGGTATGACACTTTTTTTTCTTTTAAAACGTCAAGAGTTCTTATCAGCCACCATTCCCTTTTACCCTTTCTGTCACTGGAAAAATGAACCCATTATTGAACATATATTGTGTCATCTATTGTAGATTAAACCAGAAGCGGGTCCTATTGAAGGGGGCACCAGGCTGACCATCATGGGGTATAATTTAGGAAAGAATGTGTCTCATGTTAAAAATGTTGATGTCGCCGGACTAGGATGTCTACCGCAGTCAGATGGATATAGGATTGCAGAACAGTACGTCTTAGTAGAGTTCATATTGATTCATTTCTAATAATAGTTCCATTTAAGATAGCGAGACTATTATTTGCATACTTGTTTCATCTTCTAATTGTGACTAAATGTATTTTTAAAATCGCCAGACTTCAAGCTTTTCAAAAATGTGTTTTTCATGCCCGTATCTGCATTCTACGACGCGTTACTCAATCAAAGATAAAAAATTACTTTTTTTTGTAAAAAAAATATTAGCAGTTATGCTGGTGATAAGAAGTTTTTTTTTTCACTTTTCCTAGTTCAATAGTCTGATAAATTGAATGTGTCTTGTCAGTTTTATTCAAGCAACGCGTTTTAATTAGTAGTGTGCTGAATTTTAATTTCCGTTTTAGTCGCATTGCCCCAACTAAAACCACGACACGTTGGTAAATAATCCACGAACTAGTTTGTCTGGACAAATTAAAGTTCCTCTCATTGTCACCTTAAATCTGTAAAAATTTGATGTTAATCCGACGACAAAAAGTATACGTTATTTTTTGTTAAAGACCTTGTATTTTGAAAAAATAAACTCCTAGAGAACGTCCATGAAGTCACGGCAAAGGTTTTCAAGCTTGTTTATCGGCACAATCAATTTGTTTTCCCATCAAGGTCTGTTTTAACATGTGTAGGGACATCCAAATGTGTAAGGCTATTGGAAACCAAAAAAATAAAGGAATGAGATAGCTATAGTTCGATAAAATCAGCAGATGAAAACACCAAAATCAATGATTTTGTTTTAGTGGCTGTTTGACCTTGTGTCTGACACATTCATATGCAAATGACTAATTTGTGAAACAAACAGGGGCGGAGACAAACCTCTCAAGTGTTTGGAAACACTCATTGTGTGTCAGAAAGCTACTGATAACACATCCTAACATTGCTTTGTCTTGTGTTAATCTTTGAAACTTATAGGCACTCAGATTAAACCTGTGTTGTTGATTTTAGAAAACACTACTGAGGCTGCTTTGCTTCCTTTCAGAAAATCAACATTTTAACCAACTTACATGACATTCTATGTTATGTTGACTTTATCAGATGAAAGTTTATAGTGCATTTCATCAATTAATAAATAAATGTGAAAATCGTAATTTTCAACACAAATAATAGTCTCGCTAACTTAATCATACTGACAATACTACTAATGCTAAACATAGTTTTATAACATCCTGGGTGACTGGTGCCACACACTCAACAAGAAGACTAACATCACTGGCAGAGTTTCGTTTACAGAAATGACTTTGGGGAAACCTTTAGTTATGTCAGCAGGTGTATGTGTTCAACTGGGCCAGGTTAATCACGTGATATTTGGTTCGTTGCCTGGATGTTCCAATATTTGATATATGGTTTCAATGGCAGAATGCTCTCGCTATAAGTGTCATCACCACTTACTCCTTTTTGATATTCTATGTGGGGAATTGTATCTCAACACAAACATGTTACCAAAACAAAGTGGTATTATTTTCAAACAATACATAATTTTATAAAGAATGACGTATATTCTCGATCAATTGATGTGGTCAGTTATAGTTGTATGTAGCATACCTCTCATACTAGGCGTGGGTATTCACATTGGTAACTGTATCAGCTGTTCTTGTATGTAAGAGCAATATTAATGTTGTCTTGTTTTTAACAGAGTACAATGTCTCACCAGCGCTAGTAATGGTGTTCATTCAGGTCATGTTTCCATAACTATTGGAAATAATCTAATGTCGTACAGTGGCGTTTCAACTGGTCAGTTCTCTTATGTGGTAAATATCTATAATTGTTTTCTAATTATTGCATAACATATATCATGGATTTCGTTATTACTTTTATATATTACTCTGTTGTGTTTGTATTAAGTAATCTAATTCCCATGTGTGCACAGGAATATTGATGAATATTTACATTTACCTAAACGTTATGGTCACGTTCTCGTTCAACAGGTAGTCAAAATATATAATATTTTCCCGATGAAAGGTGCACAGTCTGGCGGAACCAAGGTCACGGTAGTTGGGGAAAATATGAACGCTGGTAGTAATATAACGGCGACAATTGCTGGGTTGAAGTGCTATGTTACAGAGTAAGTACGATCTTACGAATGATCTTCAGTGCTATGTTACAAATTGAGTGATATGTAAACGCTGCCGTTCTTTACAGTGTTTTGAAACAATGTGCTACGAAATTAGAAGTTGAGGTTTCCAGTTGAGAGTAACTAATGTACACTTGACAATGCAAGCGGTGATTGTTACAACTCAATTGTTGAAAAGTAAATCAATATATGAATTTGGAATAAACCATATTCGTAAATAATATGAACAATTGAAATAAGTAAAAAGCCTCATATAATAATAATAATAATAATAATAATAATAATAATAATAATAATAATAATAATAATAAT